CCCCCCCCCCCCCGCTCCTCCGGCTGCCACGGCAGCACCATGTAGAATGAGGCTGAGTGTGCTCGATCGGTGTTTATATAGCCGCTGTGGGTGTTATCATGATCATGACATCAACATCACGAAGTGTTGCCCTTCGTACTCCCTGGTTTTGTGAGCGGTTGGTCCGGACGGACAGAACGACACACACACCGACAAACCGACACACCAAAGTTGTGGTTTATATGGAAGTGATTCTTAGAGCCACCTGATTGGAAGGGCATGAAACATGTTCGAAATTGTGGAGGGAATCACGTAATGTTCGCTAATTAGCACTCGGTGACCTGCACTTGGTCACCGACCTTGTTATTTGTGGGACGGTGAAATCCTGGTGCGTGGACTGTCCGCTTTAGGTGCGTACATCGCTATTGACGTCACCATAGAAAGTTGGCTCTGCCCTTTCTCCGCTAAGGCTACTACCTAGGAGCCGGCTACCCTGTGGGCGGGCAGAGTTACGAGCTGTCGAAAGGAAAAGACCTTGCCATGCGCGCCCTTCGCCGGCGAAGTCCCCGTTCCGCTTTTGAAAGCACAGAAAGTATTCTACAGAAACCACATTTGCCCTTCTTCAACACAGAATTTATCGCGTCCCATACCTTTGAGGTCTTCTTACTCAATTGGATGTAAGAAATGGCTGTATTTGTGTGGATCATCGAAATAATACTAGATACGAGCCGTAGCCTGGCACGCATCCAATGCTGTTCCTGAAAAATATCTGAAGCAGAACGCTACCAGTGGAGCATTTATAGATTAGCGTCCAGGAACTCGACAACGCACCATGGTTTAGCAATGAGAACTCACATGCTATCAAGATAATACGATGGGATACAGTACATGACAGCAATGAGCATAGCGACAACAGGAGACTTTATTGTCATGGCCCCTTCCAAGAGTGGTAACGGCTTCCGTTGTGTGGCATATGTTGTACGAGTGCGCATTCGACATCATGCTGCACATCCAGAACTTCCAAATCTGTTTCCCCTGATGCTCCATGCACTCGTTATGGCTGGTGTCAAAGTCCGCGAACCGTCGCGCGACGGATCACGGAACTCGCAAGTGCCCCGATCGATACCGCGAAAATCCCACCGCTCGATAGTGAGAATTGAACGACGTCTGTTCATGATTCTACTTGTTCCACATTTAATGTTTCAAATGTTCAAATAGACACTTGTGATTTTTGAAATTTGCGAGAATCGCGCGAATTGCGTGACGGATCGCGGACTCTGACACGAGTCTCTCTGTTGGCAGAACCCCGCCAGCATCTTTGAAATGAATTGCGACCAGGATGAAGCAGTTTTAATTGATTGATGATTTTCCCTTTCATTGCCCAGAGATACTGACCCAATTCTACCGATCCTCTAAAGATGGAACATAAGATGCCATGAGCCGAGCCCGAACCGGTATTTGCCAAAATGTCTCAGATTTAAT